GAAAAAAAATAATGAACACACATTACTTATGTTTACTTCAGTGAATAAATACACTCCGACCAAATTTGTATTTTTAATAATATCCATCTTTTAAAATGTTTACAATGCATAATTTCATTACAGATATTAATGATATTACATGCATATAATGAAATGGGTAATGAAGCTTTCAATGTAGATCTCCACTTGCAGCCCCCCCCCCCCCCCCTCCAACAGAATAACAACTCTTTAGTACATGTATGCAGTGTAGAGGTGAATCTTCTGTAAGTTAAATAAAAGAAATCATAAATCAAAAGAAATAAATCAAGGATTACATTTACACAAGGTTTTCAAAATACAAAGTAAGGTCGTATTTGAAACCCACAAATGTATTGCTCAAAAGGTTTAATACTCCTCATGCAGATATTGACTGATTTAGTCAGGCAAGCTTTTTAAAAAGCTGTTACTTGTAGATATTATATAACAGGTGTAGTGTAGCTTTCAACTTAGATCCAAGGGCAGATCACTCCTCTTGCAGACACCCCCCCCCTCCCTTAACAGAATAACAACTCTTTAGCGTGTTTAGTATGCTGTGTAAAGATGCTTCCTCTCTAAGTTAAATAAAATCAAGGATTTTTTTTACACAAGGTTTTCAAAATATAAAGTCAGAACATATTTTAAACCCACAATAGTATTGCTCAAAAGGTTTAACACCCCACATGCAGATATTGATTAATTTAGTCAGGCAAGGTTTTTAAAAAGCTGTTACTAGTATTTTCCTACATTTTTTAAAAAAAGGAAGTAGATAGATATGTTTGTGAGAAAATATTCCATTTGATTTTGTACAGAATGAATGAATCCCTCTCCGACACTCAACGGACATTACAGCAGCATCTGCAAGATTTTGTAAACAAGAATAGACAGAACTTCGAAAAACAAACAAAAGATCTGATAGAGAGAAAACCTCGGTTTTTGTCCTTCTTTGAAATATACCAGGAGGAGATCATTGATTATGAGAGATTGTGTGAAACGATGATGGAGGAAATAACAGAGGCCGGTGAGCGACGATTGGATTATCTGGAAGACGTGGAAGAAAGGACTGCCTGCAGAAACTACATGGAAGAAATGAACGATAAACTGGACAATATGAAACATTTTCGTTTGAACTTTCTTCAAAATCAATTGCGCTTGTGTAGGAATACACTGTGTAATATCGAAATGAGAATTGAGCAGAATAGAAGCATTTTATCTGATCCAGGCAGTCTGGATGTAGCAATGATTGATGAGATCTCTAATCTTGTCAATGTGGAATTTTTAAAGAAAGTTGATCGTCAACTCTTTGTCTGGATGTCTAGGACCTCGTCTTATTCTGCTGATTTCAACGCTAGTTTTCCTGAAAAGTTTGGAGATCTGAAAAGTCAGAAATATGGCCAATTTCCAGAGAAATTACGCAGTAAACTTCCAAATGAAGAGTCGCCAATACTCTCCAAAGCTGTCAGCTCCACAATGATTGTAATTTGGAATTTAATTCCGTACATATTAGTCACTCTTTTACTAATGTTTGTTTATTGTGCTTCCAAGTATGTTTTTGGTGTTGAAGCTGACAATGTTTTTATTTAAATCAAGGGACATTTATGCTTTTTACTGTTCAATTATTTTTTAAACTTGGGCCATCAGTTTATATTGAACTTTATGGCGTCTCCATAAGAGTCAGGAACATACAATGAAGCGCATTAAAGTGGTAAAATTTTCCGTTCAAATGGAACGTTTTGAGCTATCTTTTAGAACGTTTATTGTCATCTTTTGACACGCCCTTTTCTTTAGAAATGGATAAAACGGTCAAGTTGTTTCTTCAAATACCTGTAGAACAGAGTTTCCATAAATATAATAGCCAATCAAATTGTGGATCTAAATAAACACCGAGTAAACACGTGTTTGACCGAAACATGTGTTGTGGTAACTTCAATAGACATGATAGGTTTAAAAATATGTACATATTCGTTGCAAATTGTGTTTTACAGAAGCGCGGAGTCTCTAACTCCCTCTTCTAATTTTTTTTAAAGCTCCATTTCAGTGTAACTCATGTTGCTTGTCGCGAAAAATTGGGTGTCCTAAAACATTACGACAAATATTTCTTTCACGTTTCTAAAAATATGGGCGTGTCATTATGTTATAATTGACGTTCAAAACATGACTCAAAACTTTTCATCCAAACTGAAAATTTAACCACTTCAATACGCTTCATTGTATATCATTTAAAAACAACATATTAGAACTTCATTATAATATTTATTGATTAATTATATCATCAAAAGACACGTAATCAGTTTTGAGAATGGTGATAAGCCGAAAATTGTCCAATGCGTCAGATGATAGACAGTGCTGAGGCGCGTTTTAAATTAACTACATGTAGTATAATACTGACAATGTGGTCAGTTTGAGGCATATAATTTTTTTTTTTACATTACATAAAATCTCTATAACGAATAGGATATTGCAAAAAAGTACCCAGATAACTATTAAATTTCCTTCCAAGAGACATTTTTTTCGATTGATGTCCAAATTATTTCAACTTAGATCTATGGATCTCCTAGAAAAAAATTAGACTGGTGAATGCGAAATATGAAAGATATAAATTTATGTCTAATCGAAATTAAACTGCTTCTGTTGCCTATTTTTAGCTCACCTGAGCCGAAGGCTCAAGTGAACTTTTCTGATCACTTTTTGTCCGTCCGTCCGTCTGTCTGTCCGTGTTTACGAGAGTGCATTTATTGGGTATTTTTCATGCCAAGATTGTACTTATTGGGTACTTTTTGCTTATTGGGTATACCCAATAAGAAGTGTCGCTGAATATGCTTAAAACACACTAATTGGGTATTTGCAGGTTAGTACCCAACAAAACTTGGACACGACGATTTGTCCAAAAAAGTGTCCCAAAAAGTTGGTTTCACGGACGCACCGTGTTTTGTTGTTTCAGTTTTACATTCGGAACTCTAAATTCTCGAGAGTTCCGAAAATTAACTTCCGTTGATCCTGATCATAACAACGTTTGTTTTCATGGAAAAAAATATGGCGGCTAAGAAACACTTAATGTCAACAAGATTTTCTGATTGGCAAGAGAAAAGGTAAGTTTATTCGATTAATATTTATTCATTGCTGGGTTCTTGTTTAAGGAAAATAGATTTCAATGTAATTTTGAAAACAATTGTTTGAGTAAAATGTAGAAGGAGTTCAGGGAAGACGGGGCTTGTAGCATAAAAACCGTCATTTTTCGACCCCCATTTGATCCCCTGGGGCAAAATCAAAATTCCGAAACCTTACTGCACATCTACATGACACCCCCAACCATCTCCCAAAAGATGATTAAGCTACTGTAAAAAATGTAGGAGGAGTTCAGGGAAGAAAAGTGTGACAGACGGACGGACATGAGTAACAACAATATACCCGAACTTTCTTTAGAAAGTGCGGGTATGTATTGGATATATGCCGAATACAGTTCTGTATTAAAAAATATCAGACAGTTTGAGGCCCGTTAGGGCCGAAAACTGTCTGATATTTTTTAATACAGAATTGTATGAGGCATATATCGTACTTAAAACATTGCTTTTGAGTTACCTGAGACAGTCCGATATTAGAACAAAAGATAAAGGTGTTAATGACCACTGAAGCAGCAGGCTTAAATGAAAAGTACTCAGTATTTAGGGATTTGGCTACATTGAAGAAAGTATTTGAAAGAATTTGAAAAGGAGAGTGGGGACAATTTTTTTTTTCATATAAAACATACACGGAGATTAAATCAGTGCAACGAATTATCATACAATCTAGTAATTGATGACTTTGGAATGAAGGGAAATTGACGATATGAAGAATATTTACAGAAAATTATGCAGATGCTAAAGGTACACTAGTCTATTAATGGGAACGTTAAGCAAAATTGAAAGGTGACATGTTATTCAGAACATTATTTTGAACATTTTTATTATGCGCCCGGATCGAAAGATCCGAGGGGTATATTGTTTTTGTCCTGTCTGTCTGTTTATCTGTTTGTCTGCAAACTTTAATCTTCGTCATAACTTTTGAACCATGAATGATAGAGGCTATATAATTGATATGCATATTACACTATATTAAGCTCTTTCAAATGAAACCAAGGCCATTGACCTTGTGACCTTAACTGTGGCATATATGGTAAAAATAGTTTTTTCTGCAAACTTTAACCTTCGACATAACTTTTGAACCATGAAAACAGAAACTTCATATTTGGTATGCATACACCACTTATTAAGCTCTTTTAAATGACACACTGATCAATGACCTTGTGACCTTAATTGTGACCTATACACTAAATATAGCTTTTTTGTTGGCAAACTTTAACCTTTGCCATAACTTTTGAACGAAGAAAGATACAGACTTACTATTTGACATGCATACTCCACTAATTAAGCCTTTTCACCTGACACCAAAGTCAATGACCTTGTGACCTTGACTATGTCCTATATGATAAAAATAGCTTTTTAAAAACTTCACCATAACTTTTGAACCATGAGAGATAGAGACTTCATATTTGGTATGCAGACTTCTTTCAAATGACACCAACATCAATAACCTTGTGACCTTGAATTGACCTAAATACTAAAAATATCTTTTTTAACTTTTTTGCCGCCGGGCGCATGGTGATTCACAAACACATCTTGTTTGTTCAATATTACTTATCGATATATTTTCCTTTTCCAAATATAAAGCGTCGAAGATTTAGTTTTCTGGCCCTTTTGGTCCCTATTTATTTAACATGACGTAAAAATCAGATGATATAGCTGTAAATTATTAAAATAAAGATTTTTGCGAAAGTAAAAATTTATTCTAAAATATTGATTGTTTAAGAGTTATTGATTTAATATTTTTGGCCCCTTTCAGTCTCTAAAATGATAGGTCAACACTGTTTTCTTTATATCATGTAAAAGGTCTTGTCATTCTGCACAAATATTGTCCATGTTTTAACAAAATAATTATTCTTCAAAAGATATGATACAACTTTTTTTCGGAATATTTTTTTCTTTAGAATCTGGGGTTATACTTTCATAAAGTTTCGTTAAAACTCGATGATTGAAGTTTTTATATATATCAAACTTTCTTAATAACTACCAGTATGCCAATTGTTAATTGTATTCTTCGGTGATACTGTATTCAGGAGAAAACTCTATGAATTCAGTATTGGTTATGTCTAAGGGGCAGGTATAAGTCGTCAATATTCCGCCTTGGACTCTAACCAACACAGTTCTACTATCTTTGATGTCCAATGATAGCGTAAACTCGTCCGAAAATACTGCCGGATTTGCACCAATGAAAAATTCTTTTTGCCATGAACCATCTACGAAAGAGTTCGAAACTATTTGATATGATGGAAACCTTGGATTAAAATGCAGAATGATATCCTTCCCTTCGCCCATCTCTTGTCTGAAATTTACGGCCATTCCGCTAAAAAATAAATTGGTAAAACAGATTATAACGAACTTGAGAGAGAGAGAGAGAGAGAGAGAGAGAGAGAGAGAGAGAGAGAGAGAGAGAGAGAGAGAGAGAAAGAAAGAGAGAGAGAGAGAGAGAGAGAGAGAGAGAAACTTACCCCGGTTTTTCATTTCCTTTTTTGTTATATTTCACTCTAAAGGTTATCTTCTGACCAACCTCTATTTCATTTCCAATATGTTTTAGACGGATCTATTTAATGATAAATGTAATTCATATAAATCCTATCAAGTTTTAAGTACGGAGCAAAAAATTCAAATAATTGATTTCTCAAATTACTTTAAGACAACATCTATTTAATTAGTGATTTAAGATAATTAACTTTATTCCCTCGTCAGGTGATTTGATACGTATATGAACTGATTTAATGATAACAACACTTAATCCAATGAACTAATCAAATCAATTTTGCTCCTATCATTTCAAATAATCAATTGAAGAATTCAACATTGAAGAAATGATCGTAAATCGCAATTTATAGTTCTATAAACAATTATTTACCTTTATTACAATTAAAAATATATCTTCTTACAGAAAAAAATGTTAATTAGATTAAAGTTTCTTTTATAAAAGGAATCTTTGAAAAAAAGAAAGTTTTTTGCAGAAAAACTGTTGTACTCTTCAATCAACTGAATAGTAACAGCACTAGATTTTTTAAAGCCCCGAACTTGCACATAAAGTTTTACAACATTTCGATCCAAACGCGAATCGAATTACCCAGAAACAAGGACAAAATTATAACAAAAAAATTTCTAAATAATTTATTGTACGTACAAAAAGTAGATTTATAAATATACTGGATCCGGAACTCAACGTGTAACACTGTAGCTCCTGAGATATAAAATAGATCTTCAACTTATGAGATTATATGCTTGTAATCGTTACTATCATGTTTTGCAAACAAAAACCCCGAAGATACTAACATATCCCATTTTTGTATTTTCATTTTCTTCTTTTATCTTCTTTGAAAGTTATGATGCCTAAAATTCAAAATATATAATATATTTAAAACGTGAAACATATGGAGATAATTAACAGTATCAAGAGTATTCAAGATCAAAAGTTTATAAAACAATACACAATAGGAGCATAGCAAACATGAACTTCCAAAACATCAGAGGTCGGATCAGATGCCATGGAGGAGTGAGCATCTCCTGTCGACCGGTCACACCCACCGTGCCTCAATTATAAATTGTATAAATTTTGCTGACAAGGTCATTGTATCGACCGCAGAACTTGATGATGACTTTTAAAAGACGACTGATATTCTTATTTTATCAACGTGTTTGTCAATAATTTACCTCGTTTTAGAAATTTATCATACGTAGAGCATGCTCTTGCGTAACGAATCAACTGATCATGAGATATATAAACTCCGTGATGAAGTTATATTGCTTCATAAGTAAGGAAAGTTGACGATAGAAAAGTTTGAGTCATCACGTAAAATCACTTTGAAATTGAGTGATACAAAGTTAGGTAAATAATAAACATTGTTTTGAACTTAATAAGGTCGATTACAAGCTCTTTTCTTTATTAATCATTTTCGAGTTACATGTACTAACGTGTATTTATTTCATTTATTATTTTCCGTCTTATTATGGAATAAAGATAGGGTCACACAGTTCACTATCGCATCAAGAATATACTAAAAGATCGAAGGCGCGATAAAGTGATGGCGCCAAAACGATGAATGGAGGGTGTGATAACAAAAGGGCTATGGTGCAATAGCGCGATGACGATGATACGATATTTACATACCACTGTGCTTCCTCATTGCACCATCGTATCATCGCTCTCATTGCATCATCTCTTCTGACGTCATAAGGCCATTGTACCATCGTTATCGCATTGTTGCACCACCGCATCATCGCTTTCGCGCTATCACACCATCGCTTCGTCAATAGTCTGTCGACTGATTGTTATTTCAATAGTCTCAATTCGCTGAATTAAATAATGTCTCAATTCGCCGCGTTTTAAGTAATATAACATTTCTAATAAATTTTATTTTCTGCCACTCATATGAACCATTGTTGGTTGTTGATTAAAATGCAACAATTGTTTGTTGTAGTTTGAATGATTGTCTTAGGAGAAAATCACATTTTATAGCAGAAATCGATATTTACGTTACTGTCGCCGATCATCGTGTAGTTTTTATTTTAAACCAAAAAGAAGTTTTAAATCATTTACATATCTTTTTCTTAGTAAGATTGTCCTACATTTGAGTTATATTTTCTGAATATCACACCCTTCACACATATGCGAGTCACAATTTTTTAAAAGTTTTAATATATTTATCATATTTTGATGTCACCGCAGAATTATTACTTTTCTATTTGGAAATTCAAAAGGACTGGAAGGATTGATAAACTGACTCAATAGGACTAAGTTGTAACTTTTTAACATCATGAACACCTCTTCTATTGCATGGAATGGTAAAAAGGACACTCTTTATCTGTATTTATGAACAATAGCCCCCCTTTTCTTATAAGTCCAATGGTTAAAAAATTCAACGATATTTACGTGTTAGTATTTATTCACAAATTAAGTAAGAGAACTACACTGTTCCCTATGGGTCAAATTGCCTTACACTCAAGCACTAGAATATGCCTTTAATTAACAGTGGAATAATTGAACAATGGCATTAAAAGTTACGATAAATCTCAGAAAGATATTTACGTTACCGATATTTACGTTACCCATATTTACGTTACCATGTTTTAAAGTAAATAAGTATTAATTTCCAAAGCTGTTTGAACAGATTTGCGAGTGAATCTTTAAGATGTAAATACTAAGAACATGAAGAAATATACACTGTTTCTTAAAATGTCATTTTTTTTCTGTAACAAGAGTGCAGAAATGCAAATTGAAGTGCACATGCAAAGGTGAACATTTTTCACTCAATATCTTGTGCATCCGTGTGATTTGAAAATTGAACTGACATAATATTATTCACAAGTAGAATTGTGGTTTAATGATTGAATCATCTTTCCATTTTGAGCAATTGGTTAATATTGCATATATATAGTTTCAAGTGTAATACACGTTATCATTCGGAACGTGAATCTGAAACAAAACTTTCTTCAAGTCTGTATTTTGCTGTTTGTTTGAAATGATAGTGTATCGTCAACTTAAAAAAATGGTTATATACACCTGAATTGTATACCAAGCTTAACATTTTGAAGGAAAAAAAAATCATTTTTGTAGGAAATGTAATTCCAGAAAATAGACGCTGCGTTGCATGCAGTGTGTGTGTGTGTGTGGGGGGGGGGGTTCTACATCGGGTAAAAAAAGAGGGTGTTGGGTGTCAAGAAACTGGTTGAAATTGAATCCATTTCCATTTTTGTTGCTTTGCAAGAAATACAAATATTAACATGTATAAAATTGTGCACCTAATTTTCCCATTGGAATTGCTTAGACATATAACGTATGCATCTATGCTTTAATGGTACTGAAAATTCAATTTACGTTATATGAACATAGAATGTATATTGCTCTATAGAGCACATGTGATATGCAACTTAATTATTGACAAACCTTTTAAGGGTGGTGGGCGATCTTTGTTTAATTTGTGAGATTTGACGATAAAGTTTTCACAAACAATTAAACATTTCAGACATGTAGCAACAGAGGGGGGGGGGGAGAGCAGCCCCCCCCCCACTTTTTTCTCCAACCTTACTTCAACTATAGTAAATGTTCAGTGAAAGGCTTATTGCCCCCCACCCCCACTAATAGTGATGTACGGAAAATGTAGTGTAATAATTGGTACTGAAAGTAGTTGGCATTGAAAAAAGTTCGCCTCCCCTCCCCCTCTAGGATTTTCGACTTTGTGCAAGTTTTCTCACCCCCCCCCTTTTTTTTGCCTTGTCAACTTTTCAGGTAAGTAAAAAAAATTCTCTGGCTGCCCCCCCCCCACACACACACTTTAAAAAACGATGCTACGTGGCTGCCTTTGAAATAATCAACAGATTAAATGCTGGAAGGGGGGGGTTATGAATTACATGAGTCCTCCATAGATAAATCATAACTTGAATTTTCAATTCAACCCTTTGTAAAGAGCGTATATATAGATAAGAAAATTCATAAAATTCAATAATTTGAAATAATATAATCATTTTTCCCCGAATATACTTTTATTTTTGTATGATATCTATGTGCGATATTTACGTGATATTTAACAAACACTTCGTAATCAGGTAATGGCGAAATATTTAACCTTTTTATATTCTAAATAATGTGTGTTTCTCTGAGCAGATTAATAAAGAATCAATTAATGTAGCATTTTAGGGAATATTGTCATTATTAAGCTTATCATCGGATGTGATAAAACTTGCTAAAATAAAAAGAAAATAATTTCATTTAAATGAAAATTACATCCGTTTTATTTTTACTAATAATTGAATCAAAGATTCTACACCCCTTTTACAAATGTGCTTAAACGGTTTCATAAATGTTTATAGTTAACACAATTTGATGTGTATTATATTGATTTTGTATTTTTAAAAAAATTCTTTCGTTTCCAAATATGGCTTTTCAACATCACATAAATATCTTGGTTAAAAATTTGCCCTCCAGCCGCTTTTATTTCGAAGGAGGCCAACAAAACAAAGCATGAAGTATGTAAATC